CATGTGGTGGTGCGGTGTTTCGATGATTACCTAACAGCGAAGACTGATATGTTGCTAGTGGGGTCAAAAGAACGCATCTCGACTCCCGAGGGGGTCCAGGCAGGATCTGGGGAGAAGCCGCGGAAGTCATTTTATGCAAACAGTTGCACATTTCGTGGTCTTCGAGGTCCCAGAACTCCACTCCCGGGCCACATTATGAATGCCCAGAGCCAATTGTAGGCCACTTCGTGGTCTTCTAGTTCCCAGAACTCCATTCCTGGGCATGATTTTGATTGCCCGGAACCAACTGTAGGCCACTTCGTGGTCTTCTAGTTCCCAGAACTCCATTCCTGGGCATGATTTTGATTGCCCGGAGCCAACTGTAGGCCACTTCGTGGTCTTCGAGTTCCCAGAAGTCCATTCCTGGGCATGATTTTGAATGCCCGGAGCCAACTGCAGGCCACTTCGTGGTCTTCGAGTTCCCAGAATTTTATTCCTGGGCATGATTTTGAATGCCCGGAGCCAACTGCAGGCCATTTCGTGTTCATCGAGCTCCCAGAAATCATTTCCGGGCCACATTTTGAATGCTGAGGCAGGCTGAGGCTGAGGCTGAGGCAGGCTGAGGCTGAGGCAGGCTGAGGCTGAGGCCGAGGCTGAAGGCAGACTGAGGCTGAGGCTGAGGCAGGCTGAGGCTGAGGCTGAGGCTGAGGCTGAGGCAGGCTGATGCTGAGGCAGGCTGAGGCTGAGGCTGAGGCTGATGCAGGCTGAGGCTGAGGCTGAGCCCTGGCTGAGGCTGAGGCTGCAGGAGGCTGAGGCTGAGGCAGGCTGAGGCTGAGGCTGAGGCTGATGCAGGCTGAGGCTGGCTGAGGCTGAGGCCGAGGCTGAAGGCAGGCTGAGGCTGAGGCTGAAGCAGGCTGAGGCTGAGGCTGAGGCAGGCTGAGGCTGAGGCTGAGGCAGGCTGATGCTGAGGCAGGCTGAGGCTGAGGCTGAGGCTGAGGCAGGCTGAGGCTGAGGCAGGCTGAGGCTGAGGCCGAGGCTGAAGGCAGACTGAGGCTGAGGCTGAAGCAGGCTGAGGCCCAGGCAGGCTGAGGCTGAGGCTGAGGCAGGCTGATGCTGAGGCAGGCTGAGGCTGAGGCTGAGGCTGATGCTGAGGCAGGCTGAGGCTGAGGCCGAGGCTGAAGGCAGACTGAGGCTGAAGCTGAAGCAGGCTGAGGCTGAGGCTGAGGCAGGCTGAGGCTGAGGCTGAGGCAGGCTGAGGCTGAGGCAGGCTGAGGCTGAGGCTGTGACTGCGACTGCCGTTGCCACTGCGACTGTCATCGCGAATGCGACTGCGACTGCGAGAACAGCAGAATTCTACAACTGGATTCTCATTTGAATCTTAAGGGGAATGCTTCCAGATATGCTCCTACACATCGCTGTTAGGTGGCTTTGCCGGGATAATTTTTGTCGCTACGCACCCAGGACTAGTGTTAAGGTGTTTCGTCGTCGCGATACTTTCAGGTTCCCTGGGCCCGATCACGACCCCCCGAGATTGTCGAGAAGCTGCGTCGTGGTTGTCCAGCGACGCCCATAGGTCTAGGCCCACTCGACTTGGGAGCTGCTGCCCCGCGAGTCGGTGTCAGAGAGACTTGGGTCGCACTGTTTCGCCAATGCGTTTGTTGCCTCATTGTCTTCAAGCTGGGCCTGGGCAGGATCACGATCATTTCCCTCCGACGCTCTCCCCGCCGTGACCTCAACACGCCGACTTCGACAGCCATCCTTGAAGGATTTCGGCGGACACCGGCACGCTTTCTTGCTTGCCCCGCGAGTCTCCGTGCGTCGCTGCAGAGGTGCTCGGCGGCACGCCGTGCAAGCGTTCAGGGCAGCAGGGGACGCACCACGTGGCCGCGGCGGGCGCCTGCTCGCTCGCAGGAGCCGCGCGGGAGTCGTCGTCGCCGCCGCCTCTTGCCACCGTCGTACTCGTCGTCACTTGCCGCCTCGTCGTCTTTCGCCGTCGTCGTCGTCTTTCGCCGTCGCCGTCTTTCGCCGTCGCCGTCTTTCGTCAAGGGAGGAAAATTCACCCCGACCCCCATATTTGGCGTTTGCAAAGCGGCCTTTTGCGCTTACTGAGCATTCGATGTCTTCCTTGGGTGCGCTTGCTACACGGTTTCCCTTGTCGGGCTGTTTGCTATGAGGGTGACTGTTCTGCTTCCTGTTTCGCAGGCGTCTTCGTTTTGCGCCGTCGTCCAGCGAGGGGCCGGCGGCAGGGAGGATCCTGAGCGGGTCGAGCGCTAGCGGCGGCGGAGCGAGTGGCGGCGGGTCGGGCGGGGCGGCCAGGACAGGCGGTGCCGCTCCGCTGGGTGCTGGCGAGCGCCGCGGCGGCCGCGGAGGTGGGCGCCACCCTCCGCCGCGGAGGCTTTTCTGAAGCTGCCGTCGGTTTTCTCCCCATCCTCGCTCTTCCTCCTTCTCCCTCCTCCTCCTCATCTTCCACCTCCTTCTCCATCCTCCTCCTCCATCTTCTTCCCACATCTCGCATGGATCGCGTCGATACATTGTGTTGGCTTGAAACAGAAAGCGCATGTTATGTATGTCGTTTCCGAACATTGCGCGCGCGCGTCTCAGAGATCGAGCTCCAGTCTCCGCGCGATGTTGGCGCACGGCCAGAGTAATTGTTTGGAGTTTGCTGGAAGTCGCCCAGGCAGCAGCACCATCCGCGCCAAGAACATTCCCCAAACACAGAGCTGATGGCACGACTTTGACAGGCGCTCCCCGGCGTGAACGCGCGTTTCTGTCACATTAGACCTTCAGGTGTTCCGTTTTGCTCCAATCCGATTCCCAACCATAAGTTTGGTTATGCGGTTTCAGAGGTCTGACAACACTGCACTTTGCCACGTCGTCGAACACAAGTGCTGCATCGGCGGCGTAAGCAACATCGAAGCATATGCTGCCTTCTGGAAGAGGCCTAGCCTCGTTGTGCAGGTCGTACTTCACGCCCGTCACGATGGCCGCAAGCACAAAGATGAGCATGAAAGGACTCAGCGGGCCTCCCTTTGTGACCCCTGATCCATGAAGTCGCCTGCCAGAGCGCCCGAACTATATATATATATATATATATATATATACATATGTATACATGTATATGTATGTACGTGTGTCTATGTGTATATATATATATATATGTGATGTGGAGAGAGAGAGAGGGGGGAGAAAGAGGCAGAGAGGACAAGTGTAGTGCTGATGCAAGTTTGAGCCGTGGGCAGACCACTAAGTGGGGGCAAGAAGCGTGCGAGGGGTTTACAAAGATGAGCATGCGGACGTAGAGCAGGGGGCAGAGAAAGAAGGAGGAGGAAGAAGAGGACCAGTGTTAACCCAAGACCCATTAACGATTTTGCAATATAGTTTCCCTCCAAGTTCCCTCTCCAGAGGTCCATACACGTATTTATATCACTGCGGGAAGTGCCCCGTTGGAAGAAGACATATGAAAATCCGGAACGTTGCCAGAGCATCGTTCTAGGGATTTCAGCGCCGCGAATCAACGTCACTGTTGCGTCCTGACGATCCTGAATCGTGCCCGAAAACCATTCCTGGAACTTCAACGCCGCGAATCAACATGACTGTTACGCCCTGTCCGTCTTACACAGTGCCCAAAAATCATTTTGGGAACGCCAGCCATAATAATCATTGTGAGTGCTGTTTAAATCTTAAGACGAATGTGCGCGGCCCGTGAAGCTCTTGCAACGTTTGATGACGAATGTGAGCGGCGCTCAGGCGAGAGCCGCAGTTTGAAAAGGGGCCGCCCCCATCCGTGAACGTCTTTGCTGACTTGAAGAAAGCGAGGATTGCAGCGCTAAGGCGAGAGCCACATCTTGACATCTTGAATACCGCCCGCTCTCCATCCGTGAAGCTCTTGCTTTGAAAACGAATGTGCGCGGTGCTAAGGCGAGAGCCACATTTGAAAACTGCCCGGCCTCTATCCGTGAAGCGCTTGCAAACTTTGAAGACGAAGTTGCGCGGCGTCAAGGTGAGAGCAACATGGTAAAACACCGCCCGCCCTCAATCCGTGAAGCTCTTGCAGCTTTCAAGCTTGAAGATCACAAATGGTGAGAAACTCTCATGCGAAACGCCGGGCCCGCCCTACCAACACATCTCGGGGTGCGATAGGGAGGAGTTATCTACATGGACAAGGACTGGCGGAGGAGGCGAAGGAGGAAGAGAAGGGGGAGAAGGGAGGAAGGAGAGGAGCAAGTGCGCGGCGCGGCAGTTTTACTGCGAGGGCGCGCCAATTGGGGGCCGCAGGTAGTGCTCTCTGTGGGGCACGAGACTGCGAGAGGTGTGCCGACACGGGCGGGGAGCGGCATGCGGGCGCGCCCGCTGGGGCCGAAGGTGGAGCACCCCGTGGGGGCACGAGGCACGCCCACAGGGGTCGCATGGGGGAGCTTTTTCTGGGGTGAGCTGGCTGTCGGGCACGATCCGTCCGAGGGGCGTGCCGATATGGGCATGCGGACGGGGAGCAGAGGCATGGAGCCAGGGTGGAACACGAGGAAGAAGTGGGAGGTAGGAGGAGGAAGCGCGCTGCGGAGTCAGAGCGAGAGACCACTCAGCCCAGCGACGGGTGCAGCCCTGTGCAGCTGCGTGCAACACATGGAGTAGCCCTCTCTTCACATTCTGCGCGACGCGGGGCAGTGCGGACAAGTGGCTGCGGGGCAAGCGCGCGCATACGCGCACAAGCGTTGCGCGCGCAGGCGCGCACAAGCGTTGCAGGGCTACGAGGCCTGCAACTGGGGCTGCAGGAGGTGCTCTTTTGGAGGCACGATCCGTGCAATGGGTGCCTCCTCCTCCCCCGCCTCCGCCTCCTCCTCCTTCTCCTTCGTAGCCATTTTGGCTCAAGCGCAGTGTGCTGCGTTGGAGGGCCAGCCCGGCGGCGCAGTAGCTGCCTCCCCTTCCCGCGGGAGGGCTCTGTGCGCCCTGGGCCCGCCATGGCGGAGGCCGGCGGGTGGGGCAAGGAGCACCCCTCCGTCGGGCAGAGGATTGTCCAGTGGGAGGGGCAGAGGGCGGCTGGCGGCGGCGCGGGCCCTCGGCGGGGTCCCCGGCGGCGGGCCCCGGCCCCCGGGACGCCGCGGCGTTGCGCGAGGCCTCGCGGCAGCTGCTGGCCCTCGGCGACTCGCTAGCGGCGGCGCGGCGGGGCCGCGCCAGGGCCGCCGCCGCCGTCTGCACGGCAGAGCCGCGCGCGGCGGGGCGGCGCGAGGACCCGCGGTGCTGGGCGGACTCGGCGCGGTCGCCCGCGGGCGGTGCTGGGGACGCGGCGCTGGCGCTGGCAGTGGTCGCGCTCACGCTTCCGTATTACCGGTGCGTGCAGTACACGACAGGGTTCATCGACGAGGGCTTCGCCATCTACCGGAACCCCGACGCGCGCGGGGAGACGGCGCTGGCGGAGCTGCTCCGCCACGACTTCTGGGGCACGCCGCTGGTGCCGCCCGACAGCCACGTGACGCACAAGTCCTACCGGCCGCTGAGCACACTCATGTACGCCGCCGAGTGGCAGCTCTGCGCACGGTACGGGCTCCAGGGGCGCGAGATGCAGGCGCTGCGGCTCCTGAGCTGCCTGATCCACAGCGCCAACGCGGCCGTCGTCCTGCGGCTGCTGCGCCGGCTCGGCCCGCGGCGCCCGTGGGCGGCGCTGGGCGCGGCGCTGTTCGCCACGCACCCGGTGCACATGGAGAACATCGTCTATCTCGTCGGGCGGGCAGGCTCCCTCTCCACGACGCTGGTGCTGGCGGCGGTGCTCGCGTACCTGCGGTTCACGCTGGGCCGCGGTGCCAGGTGGCCGTGGTGGGGCCAAACCGCCCTGGTTCTGCTGACCGTGGCTGCCGGCCTGAGCAAGGAGCCGGGGTTCACGGCGCTGTTCCTCCTTGCTTGCGCGGAGGTGCTGCTCCGCGCGCGCTGGCGCCACGTCGCTGCCCTGGCGCTGTCGTTCGTGACGGTGGGTGCTGCAAGAACGTGGTACGTTGGCGGCTCGGATGAGGGCTTCGGAAATGTGGACGCGCCAGTGCGCTACCAGGACGCGCTGCTCACGCGGACCCTGACGTATCTGTACCAGCACGCTTACTACGCGAAGCTGCTCCTGCTGCCCTGGAACCAGTCCTGGGACTACTCCAACAGTGCCGTTTTGTTTATACATGCTCCGCGTGCGAACCATGTATTTAAAAAAGGTTTATCAATACATGCAAGGATAATGCAAGGATGAGCTGACGCATGAATTTATTCATAAATTATTCATGTATTGACAATCCGATGTGTTTTAAAAATCCTATGTGTTAGAAACTGCCCTGTACCGCCCCGGAACCAGTCCTGGGACTACTCCTACGACGCGCTCCCGATGCTGCAGTCGCCCGAGGACGCGCGCCTGCCGGCGGCGGCGTCCGCCCACCTGGCGCTGGCGGCCCACGCCGCGCACGGGCTCGCCTTGTCGCGCGCGCGGTGCCCGCGCTGGCGCTCGGGCTGGGCCTGGCGGTGGTGCCCTTCGTGCCCGCGTCCAACCTCTTCTTCCTCGTCGGCACCACCCTCGGCGAGCGCCTGCTGTACTCAGGAGAGGAAAAACACACAGAGACAATGAATCCTCGATTCCGCAGAAATGTGGGAAAATTCGGGAAGTGGAGGGGGGGAGACAGAGACCCAGAAGATATGGGAAAATATGGGGACTCTTTTGATTTGTGTGAATTTATGTGTGTGTGTGTCCTGGGGCCCCTTCATGCACCCCTGCACGGTCGGCTGGGCGGTGCTCGCCGCGGGCCACGGCTCCAGGCCGGGCCGCCCGCGGCCGCGGCGGCGCCGCCCGCGGCCGCGGCCCTGGGCGCCGCCTGGGCCGCGTACGGCTGGAGCTCGAACGTGCGCATGGGGCACTGGCGCAGGCATTTTCTTTTGCTGAGTCGGGCGCCCTGGCGCGGACGGCCGAACGACCCCTGCAGCGGGACACCCTGGCCACGCGGTCGGCGCCGCAAAAACTGCGCGTTCAAGGCTGGCGCCGCGCAGAGGAGGCGCCGAACGGCGACGCGCACGGTCGAGCGCGCCGAAGGCACTCTGGACGTGCCTGCGGGGCGGCGCAGGGGTGACCAAAAAATGTAGGTGTTTGCGCCCGACGATTCTGTTCATGACTGATGCGCTCCACTGGGACCACAGCGTCAAGGTGCTCCACCACAAGACCGCCGAGTTGCAGAGGCGCGGCGATCTGCACGGCGCGCTCGGCTTCTACACGGGGTCGCTTGCCGTCTTCGAGGGTCAGGCCATCACGGACTACTGCATCGCGCGCATACTGATCAGCCTGGACCGCTTCAGCGAGGCGTACGCTCGCTTCCAGAAAATCCTGAGCGGTCATGGAATTTGCTTCCACGACGGCAGCGACTTCCTCTGAATGACTGACCTGGGGTACCTCCTTGTCAGGCTGGGGGAGTACGCCCAGGGCGAGACCTACCTGCTGGACGGTCTGCAGCGCTTCCCGTACAGCTGCTACGGCTGGAACGCGCTCGGAGTCGTTCGGGTCCACACGGGCCGCCTCCAGGAGGCCGTCGAGGCGCTCACGGAGGCGGTGCGGTGCGACCCGGAGGCGCCAGGCACCTGGAGCAACCTCGCTGTGGTCTACGCCTACGGCGGCGCCGAGCAGCAGGCGGTGGAGGCCCTGCAGAGCGCGGGCGCGCTCAACGCGAGCCACCCGGCGGTGGTTCACAACACGCTCGTCCTGCGAGGGGACCCAGCGGTTGCCGGCTCGACGCCGGACCTCTTCATCCCCCCGCTGGCCGGGTGA